CGACGCCATGAGTAATCCGCTTTGATTTGGCCGCTTACAGCTCATTCGTCATAAATAACGACCGAGACTTCGCTCACAGTAGAGCGCTGACGGTATCGAAGCTAGTTAGGCGCTGAACAACACGGAGGCGACGAATATCTCATCGGCTCCGTCTAACTATAACTTTTTACGGCTCCGCCTAACTAAAACTTTTTTCATAACTTTTTATAAAGGCTGAGGAAAAGGTGAAAAGAAGGACTCGCATGGTGCGGTGATTAACGCATTAGCTCCGGAAAGGGCAATAGCATGTGCGGTCTTCACCTCAAACACCAGTGAACCGGGCTTTTGCAAACATCTCAACACCACTGTGATTATAACTTTTTATTCGACTGGTATTTGTGCTAATGTCTTAGAATCTCTAGATGTCTCATGCTTTCTTCGAGGTAATCGTGTACGGATCTACGTATATGTGGCAGATATAGGTATGAACGCTTTCATTAAGTTTTTCTAGCATGCCGAAACATCTAGTTTCTACATCAGATTTCACGGAATGAGCATCCAAATATTGCGAATTATATTGGGGTAAGCTGTCACCACATGACGTGCTTTGCTAACGGGTTGCAATTGAGGACAACACATAGAGCCCATACATCACTCTGTCACTGTTATTTGTTACAGCGTGCGAGCGCAAGACCGGACTCAGTCTCATTACTGAGCACGCGGTGCAGAAAGACAAATCGGAAGAGGCCTATAGAGAAATCACTTCTTAAGAGTGTCTTAATAACACAGGCGGTGTGCATTGTCTAGCGGAGAGTCAAGCACCAGCAGCTGTTGCTCTGAGGATTTGAATGCGTCGTGGTGCTGTGATTAGCGCCGAGTGCGAATTACGCTACACGATCACTCAACCATCGCTCTCCTAAGTCGTTTAGGAGACGCAGATTGTTTTGAAGAGGAATCGCCAAATTAGAAGAGGAAGAGCAGATACCCACGCACCATTCATAGAATCATCCACGTGATCGCGCGCCTTCGCGAGACCTCTATCCAAGGCGCTACCGTACACGCTACCGTAATCCCAGGAATAGCCATTTGCTAGCGTGTCCAGAATTAGAGTGTCATTTCGAAGAAGAAATATAGAAGCAAAAAAATATGTGGCTCATCTGTGATGCTGGAAAAGAAGCGAACATGTAAGCAATGAAGAGGGAATTATAAAGCTACCAGTGGGTACTCTCAAAACTATCTTAGCTTGCACTGCTCAAAGAAACAAAGCGAACAATATTTTGCGACCATTTTCCAGTTACTGACTGCCTTTTTGAATAGTTAAGCTTTACTGCAGTGTTTTTCTTTCGGTCTTTGATAAGCTATTAATCGTCTTGTACTGTTTCCAAACCTTTTTTGAATAGGGATTGGAGAAAGGGTTTTATAAACTATGATTTCCATCTATACAGAGTTTGTGACGGCCTTGCTGTCTCTCAATGAAACCATATTCTCATTAAAAGTATCAGCCATCTGCAGCCGCAGATGCTACTCAAGGATATAACTCCTTTTTTAAAAAACTCTCCTAAAAGTGTCAATTTTAGCAGCTATCGATGCTTTTTAGGCAGCGAATTTACGTCTTTGCGTCCTGCCGTTACAGATGTGGATGATGGTCATGGAAATACATTGTTATAACATACTAAAAGGAACGAGACGAACCACGCATGTGGCCACAGATGAGCATGCACCTGTTGCTTAGGTATTCTTTTGATCGAGGCGATATGCGACATGATCGTCTTATTATTGTGACCAGTAAGCGCTGTCCACATAATGAAGGCGTCTTAGGTAATAGATGGGCTGGTCGTGTACGACGATGAAACGAAGCCGACGATGACGATTAGACAACACCACGCCGTCGTAAACGAGAACAGCATTCGGTGCTACAGCATTTCTCCAGCAGTCACCGTCAGCCACGGAGACCTATCCAACGCCAGATGGGTACAGAGACCACCACATTGGTAACGGTATCGAGGTCACTGTCTGAGGTCTATGTGGATTGCGCCTCAACAACTGTCGGACACATAGGAGAAGGTGATGCTGAGCCACAAATACCGTGACTACCTAATCGAACAAATCTAAGGTTGTCATAAATGGTCTATTAAGTGAAATCTCTCATTTATTGCGTTTCTGCATTTGTTAGCCAAGATTGTTGTGGAAAAGACTTGATGTGGGTTCATAATTCAAATTGATCAGTTTGGAAGATGGATCTGAGTCGTAGATCCACTGTGGAACAATGGTTAGACTAAATGCTAAGACCAGTGAGTATTACATATGCGTTTCTAAATAGGGTGATCACAGCTTTAAGTCTGGCTTGGCTCCACGTTTTGCCAACATCTCAGTGTCATTTCGTTTCCTAAATAGTTTTACGGCTTCACCGTGGTCTAGAAAATACGGCGAAATTTCCGATTATCATCACAAATTTTTATGCTAAGCATATTACTCCCTGATCAATTACCACTGATACTACGTAATCTTGTAATCAGTTATAATTAGACCATGAGATTTTGATACCCAAAAGAAAGCAGAACTTGAGTTAGTTTCCGCTACGTAGCCACAACTTGTGGCAACTCGTTTACAACAGCGCGTGGCATGCTGGCCTGTGCTGAGCCACTTCTCGAAGCTTGATTCGTCATTGGAAGCGTTGAAGCATGGCTGAATGAGAAGAGGGTAGTTTCCGGCCAGAGCAATAATTCCACCCGACAAGCCAGTGCTCATTACCGACGAGGAACCCACGGAATGTCGTATTGTGGTTCGCTTCTCAGCTGAAGACATTGCACTCGAAGTTAGCGGTGTTAACAACGAGATGGTGGCGATGAGGCAAAGCGAACCGCCGTCGTTAACGAGCTACTGAAAAAGTCGTTAACATCGGCCATGATACTGTCGGCACACCAACACATCGCAACGTATTCAAACGCAATGCGCCCGATGCCCAACACATCGAAAGGTCGTCGTTACGTAATCGACCAATAACTGTCTGTGTGTGTCAACGACGACCCTGTGGTATTGGCCACTTAGGCCTAAAATCAGGCCATTCCAACCGTCGACGACCATCGTTCGCCAAGCCGTCTCGGGCACTTTACTCATCACAGTGACACTTACCGAAAAAGTGATCATTACAGAAAGCGGAGACGATGACAGCCATTACGATGAAGAGAATTCTGAACAATGCTGATTTCACGAAATCCTTAAGCTCCTTAGGCAAAAAGAAGCCAACAAGGCTGATAGGATCGGCATAGCCACCGAAAAGTAGCTGTAATTCCATGATAGCCCATCCGTATTAGCAACGACAAGATGCGAGAACACCGTTGATGAGGATTATGAGCGCTCTTGTGGCTTTATGAGTGAGCCCTCCCATAAATGGAGAACAATCGATTGCGCTGTTAAGATGTTTACGTGCATTTAGTGAAATTTCAGTAATCTGCTTAAAAAAAGTCTTAGCAGCCATTATCTCGCAGGCCATACAATCCAAAAAACACCCTGGAGGTAGTTTGGAACTACAAACGAGAGACATATTGAGATAAGTAAACTGTCATTCGAAGTTATGATGACTGATAAGCAGAGGCTGCTAAGGCCAGCCAGTAGTCGTTTATTTTCTCTAACTGCATTTTCTTTAATTCAATAAACAGTGTGCTAAACAATGTGAAGTCGAGTTCGAAGTATTGAAAACTCGTATGGTAACAATATCGCAACAAGTTGCTCAGGAACTCCCCCAACAGAGAGCACGGTGCACCCGGTCTGATTCAAGCGATTAGATAAATTCGAAAAAGGAAAGCACCTGAATTGAACGAGATTAAAAAATGTTATAGAGGTCATGGTTAGTTGAGGAACTGAAAAATAGCTTCATACTTAGGGTTACTCATATGCCGGTTCCCCAGCTCACATAAAATATCTGAAAGACGACTTAGTAGACAGGAAAAATTCTAAAAAATACATTTATTAAGAGATGCAATTACAACGGTTTTAAAAATATCAGAGGCAATAAAGAGTGGTATGAAATTGCATCAGTCCTGTTTTTCTTCAATAGTTCTGTATCACAACAGTAAATCGCTTGACTTTCTGGGTCAGCGAGTATTGTTCAATCTACCCATTTCAGTGTGTTGATGGTCCCTTTCAGAGTGAAATTTACCCTATGAAGGAATACCAATTATACGTATCATTCCTGAATAAGGAGGGACATGAATGACGTCATTTGTATAGAACTTTGCCCTTTATGTTTATCCCATTTTTTCTACAACAAACAGCTGTGATTAGCTTGTCAGGCTATGCTGTAAGTGAAGTGTGGGTATAGGATAAGTTGTAAATGACGCAATGAACAAATCTAAAAGGCTTCTACTCCAAAAGGATTCCAAACCGCACAATTCATTTACCAATTTAAAGGTGTTATGGACTACAGAAAACCCATATCTTGCGGCCATATGCGTTATAGAAAAAGTACATCGTGGCTTTTCCTCTGTCTTTAGCTCCTCTATTTAGCGCTACCACTTGTAGCTCGCATGAAGGAAATCGTAAAGAAGGAAATCTCGGTCTGCCTGAATCGAATCACTAGGTCTACTTATCCTAGGTTTTCAGGGATGTCGAGCTTGCCGCCTACGTTCTATACATGGAAGGAATAGTAACGAGATTTTTCGCTTCACTTTGGACTCTATATTTTCCACTTATAAGTGTGTTTAGTGGTATTTATTGTTATCAATACGGTATTCTGACGTCTTACTCATTTGATGTATATATCCTATGTCCGATAGAGCAACGACTAACAGTAAAAGTAATATTTACTAAAGACAAGAAGTAATATTTGTCACCTTGAACACTAATAATATTTGCTAACAGTAGTAGTATTAACAGGGATAACAGCGACAAAAATAATGATTTAGAAGTGTTAGAGATAGATAATTTGCGCACAAGTTCTGACGTCACCACTGTTTTTCCTCGTGAAATTGAAGTCCAAAAACTGTTCGTGTACGTGAGCTTGAGTTTCAGTGGAGGCCTACTTAGGGGACGGACACGTGCGTTGTTGATCCCTGCTCGACGTCGTCGATCTCTGGAATGCTGCCGATGGAGGTGAGCGATCGGCTGGCACCGACAGGTGGCGAGCACTCCACTTCCAGCAGCGATTCCGATAACACCGGCCGCACCGTGCACACCGAATTGCCGCAAAAGGGTGCAACCCTGCAGCACTGCTGCACACGGATGCTTGGCGGAGTTCCTTCATCGGACCATTGCAAACCCTTTTTCGAACCGACCTTTGCTTTGGACATACACCTGTGCAAGTCATCTTCCTCCAATATAAGTAGATAGAATAAATAAAGAATAAGCTCAGTCGGTGGAAAAGTAAGTTATAGAAAAAATAACTGGGTTTAAAACGACCACAGCCTACTTGAACTCGAGCAATTTGTGCGATCGAAAAGTTATTTTATGAATCTTGCAAATCATTTGGGTCTGAACATCGTATCTGTTTATTGTTCTCCTTGTTCGTGTGTGTGCGTGTGTGGATTCTTGTTGCCTTTCATAATGCCCTATTCACTGGCTTTTATTTTGTATTTTACATGACCCGCCATCACATCTACTTTGCGGATCTCAGCACTTCTTCGATTCGATTCGTTCTCCTCGTATTCTTAGTCCCCCTAGTTCCTTCCGCTCCTCTCCCCGATGGTGCGCGAAAACAAAGTACGACAGCAGTAAATATATGGAAACTACAACTAAAATATTGACGGGTAAAAAAGCCAGCATACTCAGTACTTTAAAAAGACATCGAACGCTTTTATCAGCGTTTTAACTCTTATTAACTGCATATTCCTTTTTCATGGCAGGGTATAATGTGAAGTACAACCATAAGAATGTGTCGTTTTCTTGTTCAGCAATCGCGAGGTTTTTAAACAGCATACATTTACTTCCATAGAAGAAGACAATACAATACAACACTAGCTGACGTCTCGACAGTATCGCCTTCTTCAGAGCCTGGAAGGGTATACTGATATACAATCTACTAGGCCAAACGCTTCAATGACACTTACAAAAAGACGAAAAACTCTTTGGTAATTACATGATCAACAACTTCCCGAAAACCCACCGCTTTTTCGTGACTTCCAATGAGGAAGTTTAGAACAGCTGATTATAGTCGCATGTGGTTGACGACTGCACCATCCCACATCAAAAATCGATGCGAACGTACGGGATCAGGTCGCGTATGACCTCCGGGCATTCATCCCTGCTATTCATTGTAGGGTTTTTGGCATTGATCCAAAAAGCCTCAAGGAGTTTTCGCGCTGGTGTTTTGGACTCCTGTGAAAGGATATTGACCTTTACTTCAAAATCGTCTCCGCTATGCTTTTGTATCCTATGCGTGTCTAGTGGGGTGCTTCGTCTTAGTTTTCGTTTGCCATCTAGGTGTTCTTTTATACGGATACACAAAGGTCTGCCCGTTTCGCCAATATATTCATCTCCGCAATTGTTACACGAGATCAGGTATATCGTACCTGAACTCATGTAATGACCGTCCCTGCCGTAAGGGCAAATTACGCAATTTGTTGTTTCACACAGACGGTCATAGAGGCGGTTGCGAACTAATTGGCGACGTAGAGTAGCCGGTGGTATTTCAACTATCGCTACCGATTCCTCTAGACTTGCCCTTCTTAAGCATCGTTTTATAGCTGCGCTTACTTCATCGCTTATAAAAGGCAACATAAACGGGATNATCGTCTCCGCTATGCTTTTGTATCCTATGCGTGTCTAGTGGGGTGCTTCGTCTTAGTTTTCGTTTGCCATCTAGGTGTTCTTTTATACGGATACACAAAGGTCTGCCCGTTTCGCCAATATATTCATCTCCGCAATTGTTACACGAGATCAGGTATATCGTACCTGAACTCATGTAATGACCGTCCCTGCCGTAAGGGCAAATTACGCAATTTGTTGTTTCACACAGACGGTCATAGAGGCGGTTGCGAACTAATTGGCGACGTAGAGTAGCCGGTGGTATTTCAACTATCGCTACCGATTCCTCTAGACTTGCCCTTCTTAAGCATCGTTTTATAGCTGCGCTTACTTCATCGCTTATAAAAGGCAACATAAACGGGATTTTGTTTTGGCCAAGTGCTTTGCGTGGGCGCGTCGTTCTCCTTGTAAACTTATCTCGTGGGGTTACTATTCCGTAGCCATTGGAGATGGCTATTTGCCGAGCCAAGTCGCGCGATTCTTCCTTTAGTTCCCTGGTAGTGCACACAGAGGTGGCTGTTCGAAACATGTTTCTCACAATCGCCCTCTTTGTGTGTGAAGGGTGGGAAGAAAGGAAATGAACAAAAATGTTCTTGTTACTTGGCTTTCGATACTACTTTGTCAGGTAGCCGCTACTTGATAGGTTTATTTGAACGTCCAAAAACGGATACAACCATAAGGATGGTGATATATAAGTAAACCCAGAAAGGCAGTTGGGTTTCCTACTCGCGAATATTTTTAGCAGAGACTCAAGTGCTACCCACCGCGCCAACCGAGGCACTTGCCTTATCTTTCTCTCAACCACGTTCTTTTTTCTATCCGTACTATCCTTAGATCATTCCTGTTGACTGTTGGTTGCCGAATAGTTGATGTGGTTGCTAGAACATGACCCTCGGCAAGGATAATCACTAGTTGGAAGCAAAACTGAAGTCCCGGGTTTCTGTCATAACTCAGTAACCCTATGCTTCTGCTCTTATCAGTATTCTTTATTTCAGACGGGCAAAATTCTAAGACTGATAGAAATAACTGGTTACAGTTACAATAAAAACAATACCAACATTGATACAAGTAATAGTAATATAAAGCATAATGGGAGTTGAACGATGGCAATAATAACAAATAACGAGGTTCGTTACTGAGAAGGAATAAAAAGTAATAAGCGCTGAGTGAGAAAACATGTAAAACCGAAATCAAAGAAAAAGGCTAAAATTCGGATCCGTAATATCAGGAAGGCGCCGCTTGTGGTGTGGAAAAGAAGCACAGCTGAGTTTGCTGCAGGGAAAGCAGATTTCCTCAAATGCCCATCGCTAACCGTATACCATTATCCACTGTTAATCTTATAAAGGAACCAGAACTGGTGTATCAGATACAGAAAAAATCGTCGTCCTTCAACTCTGCAAAAGAATGAAAAGAATGTATTGTGCTGAGTTTTTTGTTGTCATAACAAGAAGCATCACAATGTGGGTCGCCACTCGGAAACGGTTTGCCGGTTCAGTTTTCATTTTGTCGAACAGCACTGCTTAACTCGCCATTAACCCAGATGATCCTAGCTGATCTCCGACGCGTGAAATTCGCGGCGCAGATGCCGTTTTCGGATAAGGTCCGAAAGCGTGCGGTGCTTCGCAGTATGTCGTCTGTCCGGTCAATCAACTGACCCCAAAGCTTCGCTACATTACGGCACATTTGGTCAGTCACAGCAACAACACCGTCACCAACATCCTTGATCCATTTCAAACACTTTGACATCGTCATAGTCAATATATGCAAGCACAGATATTTTTCCCCACAGAAGAAAATTGCGAATTTAAAAAATACTACGCCAGCAAAAATAAAGAAAGACGAAGGTTTTTATTGTCCTGCTACTTCATACGCTCTAAGTAGCAGGTGTGTTTGTGAATACCGGAGAAAACGTAATACTTTTGAGATTTCGATGATTATCTGCAGTACTTCAGTTGCAGGATTTCAACCATGAAAATTATCGAATGAACCTATCAAAATTTTTTCTGTTTTTGATGGTGGAATTCCTGAGTTTAACGTTTCTAATAATTCCCCATTATTTAAAGGAATAAATGAAATGAATTCGTTCGTCCAGCGCACGATATTGCTGTACGGCTCTTGGCAGATATTCGCAAAACATGCACCAAAATGCACCTACCCAGAGATGCAGGTCAATTCAGAGAACGAAATCCCTATGATGAGCAACCCCAGTTGGTACTCTACACATCGGCTTAAGTCACTTGATGATTAGCGACATTGCTCTTGAGATATCGGCGTTACGTCATCGTAGCCATCGTCTGAATTTGTCTTTGAAGGCAGAAGTCGGGAACTACTCGACCGACATGTTGCATTCCTCGTTCATTCCTCTTTTTTCGGTAAAGACATGGTCAGACTAAGGTGTAGCCTGTCCAACGACGAACGAGAACGAGGGCGTTCGCCGTAGGGACAGAACGGCGCCACGGTGCCAAGCTGGACGTCGTCGCACTGGGCATCCGATTACGTCCACGTCGTGTGTTTACGGACCAGAGTCCAGCGTACCATCATCGCCAACGCCAGCAGCGGTCAGCAGTCGGCGGTTGTCGGCGATAGCAGTGCTGCCTGTTTGCCAGCCTGATATCAACCCACAAAACTCCCTACGCTCCTCTGTGCCCCTCACTAACCGCAACATTTTCCCCCACTTTTCCAGTAAAGGTTATGTTATTAATGTTGAATCCGTTTATTTGCGATATTTTTAATTGTAATGAGCTATGATGTGTTCAATGTTACCAGAAAGTTAACGCTACGTGACTCAACAAGTTAGGGAAATTGGTGGGACGGTTCAAATTTACAAAACGATCTCATCACTTTTTTGAATTCTAGCAGGATGTTTTATACATGAATCTTTAACGGTTTGCATTATAATATAGCCTCTTCCTTAGCGCTCAGTTGTTTACCACACTTTTAGTTTGGACATGCACTTGAAACAATATCTCATCGAAAAACATTTAAAGTCTTGCTGATATTTCTATCAGACGGCTTGAGAGAAAAGTTTCAAAATGTTAGGAAGAATGTGTTTTCAGCATTTGCAAAAACTACTATAGCTTTTTATCAGCACAATTTAACTCTCGGGGTTTCCAACGACGACGGCGCCGCGATTTGTTGGTCAGTCTTGGCTCCGACCTTTCCGATATCAGAACCGTCACCGGCGACCATCAGACAGCTGGTGTTATTACAGGTTTCTGCTGGGCAGTTTGTTTTTCTATGAGTAGCCCTTAGAGTTTTTCCTTTCTTGAGTCTTTTTCTTCCGCTTTTCCTCTTTTGTTCTCTTTTGGGTGTAAAGCTTTTCCTCTAGCAAACTCTGCCAATAGCAATCGATTATCACCACCAAAGGCGATCATCTAATTCTCTATAGAGCATTCTATGATAGTTCTGACATCAGCGAGGGCAGTTTGCAAGAATATATATATATCGATTATTTATGTCAAGCTTTATAGGAAGTCGATCTTTTGAGTTACTATGTTCCCAGCGAAGAGGCAATGAAGCAAAGCACTTGACAGTGCAATGTCAGTCT